TAAAACAATGTGCTGTGTGGTACTTTAGAAAAAAAGGGAATCTATATACAAAATTTTATATTTATTTTACTGTTTAGGGCTAAAATTTCTCCAATAAACACTCTGTTTCTATAAGAGAAAAACCTTACATATTAATAAAAAGGGAATATAGATGCTGCGGGGCACAAAAGGGAGACGAATTTCCTCACCGTTCATCACAGCACACTTCATTAAGACATACGAGTGCGTGTGGAAACGTCTATGGAAAAATAACAAAGAACCACAAAGCTAGAATAAACCAACAGATTGAAAAAATAGATTTGGATTCAATAGCATATTAAGTACACACACATACCTATGCAAACCAGTCTCTGTTAGACTTCACGACCTCCCAAATTAGGTGAACGGAGGATTTCAAAGGTTTTGACACTGAAGCCAAAGGGAATAAAACCACAAAGGATCAACATGCTTTCACCACGTCAAAGACCTACAAATGAAGGAAGTGTTGAGGAAAACTTCAGATAAACTAGCAACACGACAAAGGGCGTAGCGAGCAATGCCTGTGTAATGGGCACAGCTGGTCACCAGATATTCACGAGAGCCCTTGGGAAAACCACCTGGCATATACACCATGAGGCCAGGAAATGCTCCCAGCTTCTCGCCCAGTCCCCCTAGTGCAGACTCAGCCTAAGAATGAATGCGCTTTCCATGAGTGCCTCGAGCCAGTTCTGCAGATCAGCAGCGCGCATCCTAGGCAGAGGGCACATTCAGGGAAGCATGAGTCAGAACACAACCAGCAACGGCTCAACACTCAGTGACAGAGCAATTTTATAAGGAGGCAGTCATTTTGTAGAAGTGCAGGGAAGAGCTTTTTCCCTGGCACCAGACGGATAATCAAAGATGAGCAAGACATGAATCCCAGCCCCAAGGGGCTCACGGTCTCTGTGTAGTTCACAAGCATTACTCCTTGTTAACCATGGGACTTTGGGCAACACACTTCACCTCTTTAAGCCTCTGTCTCCTCATCTGTGAGTAGCATAGTAGTATTTACCTCACGGGAGTACTGCACTGTAAGTGCACAATGACTTCAGCTGCCACCAGTGTGTGTGCGACATTCACAACCGTGCACCACTGCACGTGCGTGGTGAAAAAGGAGGGGACGTGAGGGGCGAATGGGTAGAGCTGTGCTAGGGGACAGGATTGCAGGAAGGGCTTGCATTTTATCCTTTTTGAAAAGTCCCTTTAAATTTTATGTTGCTTGTGATGCCAGTGTTGTGTTATAGTAGGTAGAGCCATTGCCTGTGACCCTGGCATCCCATATGGGCTCCAGCTCATGTCCCGGCTGCTCCACTTCCAAGCCATCTCCCTGCTAATGAGCTGGGAAAAGCAGCAGAAGACAGCCCAAGAATTTGGGCCCCTGCCATCCACAGGGGGGACACAGATGAAGCTCCTGGCTTTGGCCTGGCCCAGCCCTGGCCATTGTGGCCATCTGAAGAGTGAACCAGTGGATGGAAGATCCCTTTCTCTCTCTCTCTCTCTCTCTCTCTCTGTCTCTCTCTCCCTCTCTCCCTCCCTCCCTTCCTCTCTCCCTCTCTCCCTAACTCTGACTTCCAAAAATAAATGAATAAATCTTTAAAAATAAATAAAATAAAATTTTATGTTGCCTATATAATATCTAAAAATAGATTACTGTAAAATTTAAGAGTGGGAATTCAAGAGGGAGGGGGAGGAAGGGTTGGAGCATGAGTGGGAGGGAGGGTGGGGGGAAGCCACTGTGTTCCTAAATCTTTATATATGAAATATGTGAAACTTGTATAACTTAAATAAAACTAAAGATTTATTTATTTATTTGAAAGGCAGAGTGACAGAGAGAAAGAGCTCTTCCATTCATTGGTTCACTCCCTAAATGCTCTCAACATCCAGGGCTGGGCCAGGCTGAAGCCAGGAGCCAGGAACTCCTTCCAGGACCCCGACGTGGGTGACAGGGTCTCAAGCACTTGGGCCATCATCTGCTGTTTCCCAAGGACATCAGCAGGGAGCTGGATTGGAAGTGCGGTAGCCAGGACTCGGACCAACACTCCAATGTGGGATACAAGTGTCCCAAGTGCGGGGTTAATCCACTGCACCACAACATCTGCCCCTGCTTATTTACTTTTTAAAAATCTACTCAATTCCAACATATACTAAGCACCTGCTGTGTACCAAGTTGTGTTCTGGGGAAGCAGATGTGAACAGCTCTTGCTCCCCAGGTCTCACAGCATAGTGGATGATGGATCCATTCCTAAGTCATTCAACAAATCTTTGTGGAGCACCTGCCATGCCTGGCACGGTGCCACAGACTGGGAACTCCGAGGGAACAAATTGGAGAAGGCAGTGACCCTCCCAGAGCCTACCTGCCCGAGGGGAGAGCAGACTCTGAGCAAGAAAACGAAACAAACAAGAGAATTTCAGACGATGACATGCTACGAAGAAACTAAACAGGTGACCAAATGATCTGGAAGGTGAGAGATGAGGCAGTAAGATGATAAGGATGCTTCTTACTAAGAGGAAAACAAAGCCAAGACTTCTCCTGAAGAAAGTTCATCCAGAAACTCACTGGGAATCTGTTCAAGAAAAAAAGTCCCAGGCTCCGGGCAACCCACTCAACAGCACTCCGGGGAACCCCAGAGACGGCCACCAGCAGAGCCCAGCACGCAGGCAAGTGCAGGACAGCAGCCCGGTGTCGTCGGCAGATGGGCTGCCAGAAACAGGTCTGCAAGGCCAAAGGACGGTGGCGATGCTGGCAGGTGAAGAGAGAGGCATTGCAGCCGCCAAGCGCACTGCATGGACCTTCTTGGGTTCCTGATTTAAGCAAATCAAGTATAGAAACCTTTTATGAGGGGCGGGTGCTGTGGCGTAGCAGGTAAAGCTGCCGCCTGCAGTGCCGGCATCCCATATGGGCCCTGGTTCGAGTCCCAGCTGCCAGCTCTCTGCTAGGGCCTGGGAAAGCAGTAGAGGATGACCCAGGTCCTTGAGCCCCTGCACCAGCGTGGGAGACCGGGAAGAAGCTCCTGGCTCCTGGCTTTGGATTGGCGCAGCTCCAGCCATTGTGGCCATTTGGGGGGTGAACTAGGGGATGGAAGACCTTTCTCTCTCTCTCCCCCTCTCTCTCACTCTGCAGCTCTGCCTTTCAAATAAACAAATAAAACCTTTTTTTTTTTAAAGGAAACCATCTTTGAGGTGCTCAGGGATCTCTGGACACTGCCAGTGTGATGGGAGATACTGGGGACTTGTTAACTTGGCTAGTGGCGCTGTGGGGTTTTGTTCAAAGTCCTTGTCTTTTAGAGATATGTACATGAAAAATATTTCTGAAAAAATAAAAATGCCGGTATTTGCTCTGTATGTTCCTGATGGTACTGTTGTAACTTGTGGACCAACCTGACCCCCTCTCTCCCTCTCTCCCTCTCTCCCTCTCTCTCTCTCTCTCTCACACACACACACGTCTATCCCGTGAGTTTCTATTTCCCAGGCACAGACAATTCTCACTCACCCCCGTCCCTGCAGGCCCCTGCTCAGATATTTGCTGAATTTTAGAAAATAAGAAACACAAAAAAGGGTCAACCGAGGTTCAACAATAAGAAGTAAACCCTGAGACACGATTATGCGTCCCACAATTTTTTACACTTGGGGTCTAAACACCAACTCCTTGGAGGGAAGAGCAGGGGTGCAAAGCTTGCACGGCCAGCAGGGTGGGGACCCTGGCTGGGGGAAGAAGAGCAGAGACCCCCACCCAGCCAGGCTGAGCGCCCCGGACACACACTCCCACTTGTAGTACGTGTGCCGTCAGCCGCACGACCTCTGTCTCTCACAGCAGAGTCCAGAGGTGGGACTGCACAGGCCCCAGAGAGAGTCAGTGACATCCGGTGCCGAAGTCGGGAATGCCGACCAGAGATCAGACCAAGCGGGCACCCAGGGCTGGGGCGTGGCAATGGCTGGAGCCACAGTCCTGCTCTTCTATGGGGTGCGTGAAGGGAAGACAGCAGGCGGCAGGCGGGGGGCGAATTGCTGGGGACAGCTGCTGCCCGCTCCCCTCTCCATACAGGAAGTGGGGTGTGAGCGGCCACAGGAACACAGGCCACACCCGTGTGCAGGGTGGAAACGTCTGGATTTCTCAGCCAGCATGAGGCTTCCTCAGACAAGCAGACATAGCCACGCTTAAGGACGGACCTGGAGCCACCAAGCAGGTCCACATCTACGTGGGTTCCTGGAGGAGGGAAGCAAGGGGGAGTTCCCCCACCTGCAGCCAGATAAGGGGCCAAAGAGAAGCTGATGTTCGAGGTCCCCCTGATGGGGTCTTGAGAAATAAGACGGTGTGAGAGGAAGGGAAAAAGCATACTGAGTGCTCGCAGGGGTCTAGGTGCCGCTCAGGAAGGGGGCGGGGCGCTCCGACTGAGGCCCAGAGCTGTGTCTGCCGTGGAAGCTGCAGAGGCCCTGGGCTGACTCAGCAGGCTGCGAGGGATGCTTGCTGTCTGTTCCTGCATCCCTGTTGCTATGGAAACACTCAACACAGGCATTTCCCCCGGGGCCGGAGTTGGAGATGTATGTCCAGATACACTCCCAGGGCTCAAACCAGGAAGCCAGACGGGCAACCCAACCGGAGTGAGAGGGGTTGAAATACTACAAGGTCATCAAAAAGCACATTGTCACAAAAAAGAAGCAGAAGGCACTTTTGTCAAAGAACAGGGAAAAGGCACAGAAATAGCGACACCTCATACAATGACAAAGGCAGGTCGCAAAGCCATGTGAGCCCAATGTTATGGGGGGAAAGTCTAATACATTTTAAAAACACAAACAGACAGAACGTTCAAAGTCTGCGTGGAGTGGACAACATCTTTGTTGTCCATTTTCCACAATGAGTATGTCGTACTTTTAACACAACAGTAAAACACAAGCAGTGTGGCTCACACACACACATACACACACACACACACACGCAGAGGCACACAACTGAAGACAGCCCCACCCACGTGTGGGCAGCTCACCTTCTGTAAGATGGGGGTTGGGCAGACGCTGTCAAACAGGACTGAGTTGAAGATCCCATACACGCCCTCTGCGAGGTGGTACATGATGGTCTTGGGGGTGGAGCCGTTTTCCTCTGCGGGGAGGGGGGGAGAGACAGGGGTCAGGGGCAGCACAAGCTGGATGGGAGGGGGCTGGGCGTGAGGAGCTGGTCCAACTGTGGCCTCAGCAGGGGCGACAGGTCCGTGCAACCACAGGGTGGTGGGTCTCGTTCCAGGAGCCACCGACAGCCTTGCCCTGTCACTGACCCCCGTCATTAGGAGGGTTCACAGCCATGCTGGGAACACTCACCCTGCAGCAGGGCAACCCTGCCCGGGACACGGTCCCCCGCCTGCACCTGAGCCCCAAGCTGCCCCAGAAAAGGCAGAAAGAGTAGCCCCCCCAATCTGAGACCCCAAGGGGTTAAGCCATTTGCGCAGAGGCACACCATAGGGAGGGGTGCGCTGGCAGGAGGGCCCAGGTGTCCTGGCCGGAGACAACGCTCTAGCTCTATAAAGGAAGCCGCGGGAACACCATCCTACACACACACACAGGATGGCCTACCTGAGCCCACCACCCAGCACGTGCCTCCCCCTGGGGAAGAACGCACAGCACTCAGCCTCCCCTGCCTGAGGGTCCTGCAGGGGGGCGGGGAAGCCCCAAGCTCAGAGTCCCTTTCCCCCCCCCCGGGAACGGATCCATCTGGAAGGTCAGGGAAGAGCATGGATGTGCTCAGTGTTGGCCCAGCAGCTCTGCGTCAGCCCAGCCTGAACTTGAACTCCAGCACTGCCCCTTATCAGCCTTGTGACCTTGGGCCAGTGACCCAGTCTCCCTGCCTACACTCGTCATTTGTAATATTGCCATTAGTCATTTTCATGATGTCTTGAGAAGCCCCAGGGTGAGTAAGAGCCCGCCCTTGGAGAGGAGACAGGCGTGGGGTCAAACACAGGCCTTGCCACTTACTCGCTATTAAGCAATTCACTTGCATTCCCTCTGGCTCTCAGTTTCCTCATCTGTAAAATGGGGTCAACAAAGCATCCATTCTCCCTCTAAGGCTTTTTGGAGCCCACTCTCAACATAAGAACATGCCTAGGAAAAAAGACGCCAGCTATGCGTCGTGGGGGTGGGGGAAGTTGACTGTAGGTTTCTCTAAAGCAAGGACCCCTTCTTCTCGTCCCCCCAACCCCCGTCACTGGACCCAGAAACCAGACCCTGCTCAGCCAGCCACCGTGCCTGCTTCAGGGGCGAACGGGGCTCCACTGCCCACCTGGCACCTACCCTCCCTGCCGGGCTGGTCCAGGAGAACCTCCTTCTTGGCAACGATGCTGACAGCCACGGTGAAGGCCGAGGTTACGTAGTAGCGGCCCAGCTCGGCAAGGACGTCCACACCGCAGCCCTCTGGGAAGTACAGGTCCAAGGCTGAGTTGATCACAGAAGCAACCTGGTGGGACGGGGGCGGGGCACAGTTACGGGTTTCGGAGGGGGGCTTCCTGCTCAAGACTCGCTACAGCTCCCCTGAAAGCTTCCGTGACTCCGGGCTGGAGGCTGCTACGGCTCAGCGGCGACTCGCAGTCGGGCAGAATGTAGGGAGGGGCGGGGCTGCTGGAGACCCTGCCAAGGCACTGCAAGGTGGGACTTCAAAGTCAATCAATCCAGAGCAGGTTACTTTTTTTTTTTTTTTGACAGGCAGAGTGGACAGAGAGAGAGAGACAGAGAGAAAGGTCTTCCTTTGCCATTGATTCACCCTCCAATGGCTGCCGCGGCCGGCGCACCGTGCTGATCCGATGGCAGGAGCCAGGTGCTTCTCCTGGTCTCCCATGGGGTGCAGGGCCCAAGCACCTGGGCCATCCTCCACTGCACTCCCGGGCCACAGCAGAGAGCTGGCCTGGAAGAGGGGCAACCGGGACAGAATCCAGCACCCCGACCGGGACTAGAACCCGGTGTGCCAGCACCGCAAGGCAGAGGATTAGCCTAGTGAGCTGCGGCGCCAGCCCAGAGCAGGTTACTTTTTAATCTGATAATTTTGCATGGCCCACACATGAGGTTATGAATATCCACATGGCCCTTGGTAGAAAAAAATGCTCCCTAGCCCTGAAGATGAACCTAATCATTGCTAACTTGCTGGACTAGCTCCTTTAATCCTTTTTTCAATGAACACGCAAAAACGCTTTTTTATAAGATTTATTTATGTATTTATTTGATGGGCAGAAGATGCAGAGAGAGGGAGACAGACAGAGAAGCATCTTCTACCTGCTGGTTCACTCCCTAAATGGCCACAACAGCTGGGAGTTAGTCCAGGCCAAAGCCAGGAGCCTGGGACTCCATCTGGATGTCCCATGTAGGTGCAGGGGCCCAGGTAGTTGAGCCATCATCCGCTGCTTTCCCAGGTGCATTAGCAGGGAGCTGGATCAGAGGCAGAGCAGCCAGGACTCAAACTGGTGCTCATATGGGATGCTGGAGCCACAAGCAGAGGCTTAACCCACCACATCACAACACCAGCCCCCGCAAACAAACTTTTTAAAATTATAAACATAGGGGTCAACATTGTGGCACAGCGGGTTAAGCTGCTGGCACCCCTTACGAGAGTACACCAGTTGGAGACCCAGTTGTTCCACTTCAGATCCAGCTCCCTGCTAATGCACCTGGGAGAGCAGCAGAGGATGGCCCAAGTGCATGGGCTTCTGCCACCCACATGGGAGACCTGGATGGATCTCCTGGTTCCTGGCTCAGCTTGCCCCAGCCCTGGCTGTTGCAGTTATTTGGGGAGTCAACCAGCAGACGGAAGACTCATATTCTCTCTCTCTCTCTCTTTCTGTCTGTGTGTCTTTCTCCCCTTTTGCCCATCACTTTGCCTTCCAAGTAAATACATATTTTAAAGATTATAAAGATAAAAGGCCAGTGCTGTGGTATAGTGGGTAAAGCCACTGTCTGCAGTGCCGGCATCCCATTTGAGCACTGGTTAGAGTTTCAGCTGCTCCACTTCCGATCCAGCTCCCTGTTGTAGCCTGGGAAAGCACTACAAGATGGCCCAGGTCCTTGGGCTCCTGCACCTGAGTGGGAGACCTGGAGGAAGCTCCTGGCTTCAGATTTGCCCAGCTCTGGCTGTTGCAGCCATCTGCGGAGTGAACCAGTGGATAGAAGACCGACCTCTCTCTCTCTCTCTCTGTCTCTCTGTCTCTCTCCTGCCTGTCTGTAACTCTGCCTTTCAAATAAGTAGTTATAAAGATAATGGGAACGTGTATCTGTTTTTAATAATCTGTTTTACTCAGCAGACTTGCGAATGACCTCCCCACAGCATGTGTTTTCCTCTCAAGAATGGATCATAATTTAAGCAACCCCGAGTGTTAGGTGCACCGGGGATGTCCACTGGTCTTCTGTTATCGACAAAGCTGTCTTCCAGGCTTGGTCGTCCCGTCTATCTGGAATTATCTCCTTAGGGTCAATTGCCAGCTCTTTTGGAGGAGCAGCGACTCCTAGTGGTTGTTGGAGGGATTGCTATAACACATTTTTTCTTCCTCTCACAGATGGGAAGGAGACAGATGACCCAGGCTGTGACTCAAGGTTGGTTTGGCCTTTCCCTGCTTTCCCACCTGATTTCTCACCACCACCACCACCCCCACCTGAGGGTGAACAGAGCCTTGTGAGTTACGCAGATATGGGCTTGTTAAGTGCGTGAGCTGGAGTCAGGCAGAGCCAGTGTGCAGCCAGCCCTGCTGTGGACTCTGGAAGTGAGCGATCTCTCTGAGCCTGTTTGCTCAGCGGCAGCACAAGGTTAATAAGCAGCGAGACAACGCAGCGAAAGCACCAAGCACACAGCATGTGGCACGCAAGACCACTCACGGAGGGCTCCCTGCCCCCGCCCCCCCAAAGAGCCCAGCAAGACACCCCCAGACCCAGGGTTACCTCTTCGAATCTCACTTTGGCCCCCTCTATGCCAGGGAAGCCGCCGCCGAGGTCAAGAATGTGCATCCTGTGACCCAGCTCGGAACCCATTTCAAATACCAGCCGGGCATCTGCGATGGACTGGGCATAGGCCCGAGGGTCAGGACAGCCACTGCTGATGTGGAAACTGGGGAAGGAGGAGGAGCCTTGGCTTACCCGCAGGTCTCTGGGTGCCACCATACTGTACCCATTTCACAGATGCACCGACTGAGGGCCCAAAATGCTAAATGGGTTGCCCAGGGCCTCGTGGCATGTGAAGCGTGGAGAGCAAGGTCTCTTGGCACTTGGCTCTCCTCCCAAGCCCTCCACGTGGCCCCAGGAGGTGACCTTTTCAGGATGAGGATTGGGGCCCCAGAGTCAGCCAGCTCTGGACATGCCTCCTGGTCAGTGGTGTGGCCTTGGTGAGGTGCTCAGCCTGCCTTTCTAGCCTCCCATCTGCAAGGCCAGGGGAGGGAGGCTGGACCACAGGCTAAGGGTGATGTGCACAGAGCAGCTGGCAGAGGCCTCCGGGGATGACTGGACAACGCTAGGTGCCGGGCCATCTGTGTCACTTCTACTTTAGCCCTCCAAGGAAAGCCACGTCTCGAGGCTGTGGCCTCTGAGCTGCTGGGAGAAGCTCCCGGGACAAGGCATTCTGGAGACTGGGGGTTAGGGAAGGGGATATTTCTAACCTTTCCAGAGGGAGGCCCTTCTCCAGAATGCCAGGCCCAGGGATAGGCCCCCTGGGTGGCCCAGGGGAGATCTCAGACCGAAGGGATTCCCCCTTGGGAGACAGAGGGGCTGTGGCCTGGCCCGGTGGAGGCGGGAGGAGGGGAGGGGACAGCTCCCGGTGCGCACCTCACCCCTACCACCTCCACGTGGCTCTTCTTGGCATTTTCAAGCAGATGTCTGCAGGAATTCAGCGCCGCTCCGAACTTCAGGCTCAGGTGGCTCGTGGAGTAGGAGTCGTCCGTGGCAACGCACAGGACCAACCTGATGAGACACGCAGTGCACGCCTGCAGGGGAAGCCCCGCCCCCCCGACACGCCCTCTGTGGACCCCCGCATGGCTCAGAGACAAGCGAGCACATGGGGGCGCCTGGCCCGTCCACTCCCAGTACAGCCAAGCCGCCTCCAAGGCCTGTGTTGTCCAGGACCTCACCGCCTCTCCCTAGAGCTCCATCCTCCCACTCAGCCTCCAGAGCAGCCAGGGCTTTTCAGTTTTCGAGCATGAGACGAACCCGTGCTTTCAACAAAGTCTTAAGGAGAAGCCCAAAACCATGACGGAAGCTGCTCCGGGTGAACCTGGCCGCCAGGCTTCCCGTGGAATCCCAGGATGTCGAGGAACCAGGAAAAGCCACGGCCGGAGGAAAACATCTAGGCCAGACCATCCCAAAGTCCACTGTCCTGGAACCCACGTCGCTCACCGTCTCCTGCCCTCCGTGCACCACAGATCCACTCACCCCGGAGCACCCCGGGCCATTGCTCACTGCCACGTGTTTGCTCAGTTTACTATCTACACCTGCTTCAAATGCCGCCTCTGCCATGAAGCTCTCCTGACCGCCTCCTCTATGGCCTCCCTCTGCCCAGGGCTGTGCCCAGGTAGTTCTGTCTTTATTCTGGCCGGGGCCCTGACCTCCCGGCAGCTCCACACCCCCTCCCCTTCCCCCCAGCCCCGCCCTGGGCAGCTCCTCCACTTACTTGGTACTGGGGTGGCTCTTTGCCACCTTGGCCAGCTCCATCTCGTTGTCAAAGCTCAGCAGCCGGACCCCGTGCTTGGCAGCGTACTTGATCTGGGCAATTTGCTTGCAGGGGTTGGCATAGATGATCTTACTGGTGGGGACACCAATATGCTGGACCAACTCCATCTCTGCCTATGGGGCCCCAAAGGTGGTTGTGTAGAGGCACCGGGGCCTGCTGGCCCACAGACCCCAAGAAAACACAAAGACGGTCAAAGGCAAAGCTACGCAGGTGGAGGTCCATCGCAGGCGGGGCTCACTTTAAGACAACAGATAACACAGAAACCAGGCCCGATGCCGAGGGGTCACAGAGGGACAGGTGGGGCCGCCACGCACGGCCATGTAGCTGGTACACTGCACCACCCTGGGGTGGATGGGATCCCATTTACAGCAAACATAGGCAGATTTGCAAGTCTCTCTACTTCATTATGTCATTCAAATAAAAAGGATTCTATTCATACAGACGACTCAGTGGCTTAAGAAAGAGGAATGGTATGGACTGACAACAGGCGTCTGGCTCCATTTTCCTGGTAGATTTAAATGTTTAGAGACTATCACTTGGAAAGCAGTGTGGAGGTTCCTCAAAAATTTAAAAATAAGACTCCACAAGACCCAGCAACCTCATCCCAGTATAAATTAAAAAAAGAAATGAAATCAGTGTGTCACAAGACATCTGATCTCCCATGAGCACTGCGGCTATGTCACAGCAGCCAAGACTTGGAACCGGCTAAGAATTCCCGCCATTTGCAGCAGCGTGGATGAACCTGGAGGATGTTGTGTTAAATGAAATAAGCCAGGCACAAACCAACGTGCACGGCCTCACCCATGCCTGGGATCTGACAGAGACAAAGGCAGAGAAGTGACAGGTAGAATGGTGTCGCCAGGGCTAGGAGGGGACAGGGAGCGCCAGAGAGACGTTGGTCAAAAGACACAAAGTGTGAATTCAGAGGAGTAAGTTGAAGATCTCTAGTGAGGACAGATGACTGCAGCTACCAATAGTGCACTGAGATGAAAAGCTGCTTGGGTGGGGCAGAGTTGTGGCCGCAGAGCGGCAGGTTAAACCGCGGAAACCGCGGCTTTCAACACCCACATCCCACACCGGAGCGCCAGTTCAAGTCCCAGCTGCTTCCCTTTCGACCCGCTTCTTACTAATGCACCTGGAAGTACCCAGAGACTGCAGTTCCTGCCAACGTCAAGGAGACCCAGATGGTGTTCCTGGCTATTCCAGGCTTTGGCAGATTAAGCCAGGGCATGGGAGATCTCTCCTCTCCTCTCCCCTCCCCTCCCCTCCCCTCCCCTCCGTTGTCTCTCCACATTTCAAATATATAGGGAAAGGAAAGGTGGAAGAGACTGTAGATTCTCAACACAAAAAAGTGACGTCTGTGAGAAAATGCACATGACAGTGAGCTTGATTTAGCCGTTCCACAATGTGCACGGATATCGAAACAGCAGGCGCTGGCAGACCCTCTCTATAAAGGGCTAGAGTAAACACTTTGGGCTTTGCCAGACCTGGATCTCTGTTGAAACTACTCAACTGTTACTGTGGCCCCAAGGAAGCCTTAGACAACAGATAAATGACTGAGTGTGGTGGCATTCCATAAAACCGTTCATTTGTATTCATTTATTTTCATTTTATTTGAAAGGCAGAGAGATAGAGGTCTTCCATTCACTGGTTCACCCCCTAAATGCCTGGAACAGCCAGGACTGGGCCAGGTCAAAGCCAGGAGTCTGGCACTCCATCCAGGTCTCCCATGCGGCATCTGAGTACTTGATCTGGGCAATTTGCTTACAGGGGTTGGCAGAGATGATCTTCCTGGTGGGGACACCAATATGTTGGACCAACTCCATCTCCACCTGTGGGGCCCCAGGCAGAGATGTACTTGAGCCACCATGCAGCCCTCCAGGGAGCACATTAGCAGGAGGTTGGATTGGAACCAGAGGAGGTGGAACTCAAGCCGGGCACTCCAGTGTGCAATGTGGGCACCCCAAGCAGGGGCTTAACCCCATCCCGCAGAACTCTGCACAACCCAACGGCGGGCTGGGTTTGGCCACCTGTCCATAGCTTGCCAGCCCCTGCTTTAGAGCCAGCGTTTTATTCAGGTGTTACGAATCGCCCATTCAGATGGGCGTTGGCTCCATTCTATGGAGAAGGAAAAGAATTCAAATAGCAAATGAGTGGCAGAATGCACCCCTCCCCCCATTTTCTAAAAATTTATTTATTTGAAAGGCAGAGTGACAGAGGGACAAACGAAGAGAGAGATCGATCCTCAGGTCTCCCCAAGTGGTTGAGCAACCAGCGCCGGGCCAGGCTGAAGCCAGGAGTCTGGAACTTCGTTAGGGTCTCCCATGTGGGTGGCAGGGGTCCAAGTATTTGAGACCACCTTCCCAGGCACATTAGCAGGGAGCTATGTCAGAAGTGGAACAGCCAGGACTAGACCCGGAGATCCCATATGGGATGCCGGCGACACAGTGGTAGCCTAACCCGCTGCACCACAATGCTGGCCCCAGCATGGACTTTGAAACTCAATTCTGATGCTCTGTGAATTACGAAGGGAAGGAAGTCCAGAGAGAGCCAGTTTTGAAACCCAGCAGGAGACACGGGAGCTGTGTTTAGCCATCCTGAGTTTGTAGTAAGACTTGAACTGAGAAGTAAGGGACATTAGGCTTGGCTGTGCACACACACTGTTCCACACAGCGCCTGGAACTCACCTATGAAATGCTCACAGGCCACGCTTTATGGAGGACGAGATGGGGTACAGAGAGGGCCACCTGTCTGTGATGACACATCCGATGTGCAGTGGAGGGGGATGCCAGGTCAATTCCAGAGCCAGCCTCGCTGCCATCATTGCACCTTGCTTCCCAGAAGCCACTGTGCCACCCCCCTGGGTGTGAGTGTGGTTCTGCTCCCTGCCCTGTGACATGTGATGACAGGAGGGAGCTGGGGACCTGGGATTTAGCTTTGATTCTAAATATTTAAGTAGGTGTTGTCATCCACTAAAGACTTACTATATGCCAGCCACGGCATTAAAATTTTATATACATTCTCTCGGGATGGGTGTTATGTGCAGGTTAAGTCATCACTTGGGATGCCGCATCCGAAATCGGAGCCCCAGCTACTCTGTGCTCCCAATCTAGCTCCCTGCTAATACACCTGGGAGGCAGTGGATGATGATCCAAGTACTTGGGTTCCTGCCACCCACCTGGGAGACCCGGATGGAGTTCCAGGCTCCTGGCTCTGGGCTGGCCCAGTCCTGCCTGTTGTAGTCATTTGGGAGTGAACCAGCAGATGGAAGATCTCTTTCTCTCTCTGACTCTCCCTCTCTTTCTGTCACCCTGCCTTTCAGATAAAATACATACACCTTGAAAAAGCTTTATATACAGTCTCACTGAATCCTCATAATAGTCTCCTGAGATAGGAAAGGCTCAAAGAACTTTGAAGTGACTTCTCCAAAGTCACAGAGCTTCTGAGGGCACACGAGGTGGCACCCCAGCACTGCAATGGGGCACAGCCTCACCGCTGCTCTGACGGCTGTCTCTGGGGCATCTGTTGGGCTGCAAGCTCTGAGACAGGTGCCAATGCACACCTGTGAAGTGGTGACCAGAGCAGGCAGGCATCCTCTGCCCCACAGAGCCTCGAGGCTGGCAAGGCAGGCAGGCAGTCATGACCGAGCACTGAATTATGATGGTGTTACAATGGCTAAGAGCCCTGGAGAGGCTAGAGAATTTGGGATGGGGGCCGGGGTGAAGAACCCCACAGGAGGCCTCTGCAAGGCCAGGAGGGAAGGAAAGAATGTTCCCAGGGCCGGTGCTGTGGCATAGCAGGTAAAGTCACTGCCTGCAGTGCTGGCATCCCATATGGGTGCTGGTTCAAGTCCCGGCTGCTCCACCTCTGATCCAGCTCTCTGCTATGGCCTGGGAAGGCAGTAGAAGATGGCCCAAGTGCTTGGGCCCCTGCACCCACCCACGTGGGAGACCCGGAAGAAGCTCCCGGCTCCTGGCTTTAGATTGGCGCAGCTCCAGCTGTTGCAGCCAACTGGGGAATGAATCAGCGAATGCAGAACCCCTCTCCCTCTCACTCTCACTCTCCCTCTCCCTCTTTCTGTGTATAACTCTTCAAAAAAAAAAAAAAAAAAAAAAAGAGTGTTCCCAGCAGAGAAAGCAGCCTGCAGCCTGCAGCCTGCGCAAAAATTCTAAGGCAAGATGCTCAGCCCGGCTATGGAATGGAGGACACTAGAGGGGCTGGGGCAAGGGAAGAGCAGCAGGGAAAAGGAGGTGGGAGGGAGGCAGGCGCGGCCAGCCAGGAACCCAAAAAGGCTGCATCTGGCTTTATATCTCACAGGTTACGGGAAAGTGTGGCGGGGTCCAGGAAGGGAAACGACATGGTTCGATTCGCAGTTTAAATACAAGGTCAAAACACACCATCATTGGACTGGGTATTTGGCCTCGCAATGAAGGTGCCACCAGAGATGCCTGCATTCCATATCAGGATGCCCGGGTTCAGGTCCAGCTGCCTGCTAACGTGCACCCTGGGAGGCAGCAGGTGGTGGCGCCAGCACTCAGCACCCCACCACCCATGTGGGAGACCTGGTGGAGTTCTGGGTCTCCGGTGTCAGTCTGGCCCAGTGCCAGCTTGTTGCAGGTATTTAGCAAAATGAACCAGCAGATGGAAGATATCTCTCTCGCTCACTCACTGGCTTGCTCACTCTAATTCTGCCTTGCAAATAACACCAAAATTAACACATCATTTTTTTAAAAATGCACTTCACTCCAGCTACCTTAGGAAGGGCCTGAGGGAATTCTGGGGAGTCTGGCCAGAGGCTGCCAGCGCCCTGGGACAGATGACTTGGCCAGCTCTAAAAGGACAGGAGATCCGTTCTAGAGGCCGGGTTGGCCAGCAGGGTGACAGATCGCAAGTGCAGAGAGTGCGGCTACACGAAGGGCCTGCACAAGGGCAAAACAAGGCGCGCATGCGAACACGCTGGTGCCAGTCCGCGGGACAGCCAGGCCCCACTGCGGCTGCTGGTGGCATGGCATGCTGCCGGCACGTAAGGCCATTAGAAGAGATAATCAAGAAGACAGAGTCACAAAGAAGGTCCCTAAAGGCAGAGGAAGGCAGGAAGGGAGGTCTCCCGGCACCTGCAGAGGGGCGGGGCGGGGCAGCGCGGGAGACCTTGTCTGGAAGAGGGCACTGCACTGATCATAACGTTTTCTTGTAAAACCAAAACTCGCGTCTGGGCGGCCGGCACTGTCTCAGTGGTCAGAAGCGCCCAGTGAGGGTGCGGCAGGGCAGAGCAGTGTCCACTTGCCTTACATCTGTCTGGTCCATAAAACCAGGAGTGTGGGGCCGGCACTGTGGCACAGCAGGTGAAGCCACTGCTTCTGATCCTGGAATCCCACACTGGAATGCCAGGCTGGGTCCTGTCTGCTCCACTGCTTATCCAGGTTCTTTCTCGTGGGCCTGGGAAGGCAGCAGCAGATGGCTCAAGTACTTGGGGCCTTGCCACCCATGTGGGAGACCAGGATGGAGTTCCTGGCTCCTGTTTTCAACCTGGCCCAGTCCTGGCTGTTGTGGACATTTGAGAAGTGAATGAACAGTGGATGGATGATGAGTCTCTCTCTCTCTCTCTCTCTCCCCACTGTGTGTATGTGCATTCGTTTCTCTTCCTGTCACTCTTTCAAATAAATCGATTTTTTAAAAGCTAGAGGTGTATGTTATTATTGAGTACTTTTTTAAAAAAAAAGAATACACTGCCGCGTTGAATGATGGTGAGAGGTTGGATAAGAGGACCAAGGAACTTCCCACAGATCAGGTGCCCAACATCACACAGACAGCTTTCCACGCCTGCTGAGCTTAAAGCTGCCGTGAGACAGCATACATCCCACGAATATCTATCTGCTCATGCTTCATTATAAAATCACAAAAGACTTTATCTATTTTCTATGTATCACCTGTTATTCCTTAAGATATGGATGCTCCTTAACTTAGGATGGGTTACACCCCAACAAAGCCCAGCACTAATTGAAAACATAGCGCCTCGGCCGGTGCCGCAGCTCACTAGGCTAATCCTCTGCCTTGCGGCGCCAGCACACTGGGTTCTAGTCCCAGTCAGGGCGTTGGATTCTGTCCCGGTTGCCCCTCTTTCAGGTCAGCTCTCTGCTGTGGCCCGGGAGTGCAGTGGAGGATGGCCCAAGTGCTTGGGCCATGCACGCCATGGGAGACCAGGATAAGTACCTGGCTCCTGGCTTCGGATCAGTGCGGTGTGCCGGCTGCAGCATGCCAGCCATGACAGCCATTGGAGGGTGAACCAACGGCAAAAGGAAGACCTTTCTCTCTGTCTCTCTCTCTCACTGTCCACTCTGCCTGTCAAAAATAATAAAAGAAAGAAAGAAAGAAAAAAAGAGAGAGAGAGAGAGAGAGAGAGAAAGAAAGCAAGCAAGCAAGCAAGCAAGCAAGCATAGTGCCTCACCTACCAAGCCTTCTGACTTGGGCACACAGCGCCCTGTAGAGGAGCAGTGGTTCCCCCTGCCTGGGAGCCACGGCCACGGCCACTGCCCGCAGCATGAGAGGAGACCGCACGGCACATCGCTAGCCCACGAAAGGCCACAATTCAAAACTCAAAGGGCAGTTTCTAAGGAATGTGCATTGCTTTTGTAAAGTAGAAAACCCATCCATCGGGGACTATCTGTACTGCATTTCCACCAAACCCCTAATGGTGATTACCTGTGATGATACAAAGATACTTTCTTTTTGAGTGAACAAGAGGATGAGTTGAATAATTCAGTGATTAATATTTAAAATAAAGCATTTATTGGGTCCTGGAGATGGCGAGGGACCTCGATAAAAGGAAATTCATTAGCATAGCGGTGTGCAGGCTGGGGAGCGATGACTTAGGGCGTGAGATGAGGGCAATGACTACATTTAGTTTGGCAAGGGATGGGCTGCAGGAGGAAGTGGAGTCCACAGGAAGCTTTTAAAGATGGGAGGATGCCAAGGGAGACAGCAAAGCCTGGCAAGGGATGAGGGCACAGGGTTTTTGGGAAGGTGACCAGGAGGACCACAGCCTCAGGGCAAGCAGTGGCTGTTCCCCCGGCCCTGGGGTCTGTCCAACATGCACTTGTCTGTACCTGTGACTCCAGCTCATGCCCAGCCCTTGGTCTGCTAAGGCGCGGCGATGTTAAGCATGGCCACCCACCACGGCTGACCAGCAGAGGGCAGCCTCGGCCTTCTAAGAGTCCTCAGTAAACCCACAGAGGAATCAGCAGATGCCAAGGCCGGGAGGCAGGGCCTGACCTTGCTCTTGAAGTAAGCGGAGGTTGTCACCAGCCAAGTCCAGGGTCAGTCAACCCCCTTTCTGAGGACCTTGGAGGAGACAACAGTGGCAGAGTTGGGACCACACTACTCAGACTCAAGGTGCCACCACTCAGTGCGGGACCCTGGGTGAGTGGCCTTGCTTCCTTCTCTGATAAATGCACTTCCGCAGGGCTGTCGTCAGAATTCCGCCAGAACAATGACCTCACAGGGTTGTTTCGAGAATAAAATGAGCTCACGTGCAGAAAATAACTAGCAAAGCACTTGACACGGCAGGCGCCATCAGCCAACGGTGGATGCGCCTGCTGTCCCCACTCGGCTCCAAGGTCTTCCTCAGCCTAGCACCGCCCAGCTCTGGCCTTGGGGCCGGAGGGCCAAGCACCTCGCCCCTGGGTTCCCAGACACAGAAGACTCTGGCCAGTGTGGGGACCGCTCCTCGTCTTCACCCCAACCCAGGGGGTGGGAAAAGGTCCTATTCCTTCTCGCTGGGAGCAGAGGCAGCAGCGGAGGGCTACAGCCCTGGCCCCCAGGACGGTACAACTGTACAGTGGCACTACCTCCCCACACAGGGAAAGAGCTGTCAGACGAGAGGGAGGGGCTCTGCTCCCACACCAAGAGCTGCCATTCAGACCTGGAAGGCGAGCCCACTCGTTCTGAGCGTCTGCGCCCCAGCTCCAGGACCTCCCCTCAGTGCAGCTGAAACTCGGGCACTGGGCACTTCCCCCTCCAGGCCTTTGTTCCCACCAGGGCATCTCTCCCACCAGGTAGGGCACACCTCCCTAGCTGCTGGAATCACTCCCGTGCCCCCGCCCTGTACAGCCCAGCTCGCCTCTCTCCCCCAGGAACCCTTTCTGGATCTCACCTCACAACACTGCCATGCTGCCAACCAGCAAATCACAAGACAGCAACCACCGGGACTTGTTCCCACCTCAGGGCCTTTGCACTGGCTGCTGCCCATGCCTGGAAGGCTCCTCCCTTAGTTATCCACGGGCATGGGCCCTGGGCTCCTTCAAGTCAGTATCTAAATCTCAACGAAGATTTGGCCAAACTATCTAAAAAGTGCATTCCTCTCACCTAACATTCTCTGCTTCCCTTTCCTGCTTTTTCTCCACAGCACTGAGCAGCTAAGAGACTGTTTATCTCTGAGACAGCAAGCTCCATGAGGACTTTTTAACGATGTGTGTTGCTGTATGCACTGCTAAATCCCCACCTAGAAAAGCACCTGTCCCATGGGAGGTGCTCGGTAAATATCTGATGAACAAATGAACCCACGAGATGTGTTCAAAGCTGTACTCTGAGGAAGTCTCATAGCTTAAAGGCTTTTCTCTAAGAAGAACAGAATGAAAACAGATGAATCCAGCGTTCCAGTCTGTCTTGTGTCATGCTGTACTGCCACCCCCACTGACACAGCTACTGCCATGTTATAGCGGGTCAGCAAACGCTGGATGATAACACACAAGCCACACAAAGCTGAACAGAGCAGGAGGGCATCAAAACAGCAGGAATCGGGTCGGAAGTCAGCAGAACTGGGAGCAACAACAAGCGCTAAGGATCAGTTAAGAAAAAGCGGTCACACGTTTTACAAAAGAAAATAAAACCAACAATATGAAGGTGTTTTGCTTTGTTTTAATCAGAAGATACCATAGATAGCTGCATGCAAAAACATATGAAAAAAAAAAAAAAACCTCTGTTAAAACAGGAACCCATCTGCCAGGGACACACAAGGCTCCAACTCGGAACTTCAAGGCTGACAAATCCCACACTTGTTTCTCCCCCACTCATCCCCTGAGCCCCCTCCTGAGTGGACCGTCTTCCCAGAGGGCAGGGGCCAAGCACCACCGGCACCAGCTGGGCCGCGGTGCTCAGTAGGCATGGAGGGTCAGTGCACCGAGGGGCAGGGGCTCACCTTGTTGGCACAGCTGAAGCCCAGCCCCAGCTCAGCCAGGACCTTCAGCACACCGGGGCTGCTGTTGCACCTGACCACGTAGAAGGGCCGGACTCGCGGCAGGCACTTCAGAAAGCACAAGTGCTTCCTCACCACGGCACCCAGGTCGGCCACGAAGAAGGCAGCCACCTCGTCCTGCGCGACAAGAGGAGGACAGATGTGAGACCCCTCCCGGCCCCTCCCCATGCGTGCCACCCACAGACCTTGCAATTCCCGGCCCCAAGTTCAGCCCTGGCCGAGAAGCCATGGTGCTGTAACATTTTCTGAAGCTCCCCAAGCCTGCGGAGCTCCTGAGCCTGACGTCCAAGGCTCTGTGAGCGAGCTCCAGCCCCTCCCCTCAAAGCCGCAAAAGCTCCAGCCCTAGACTGGCCCATTCCCCACCTCCAGCCTTTGTTCTCACCAGGCCCTCCCTGTAGAATCCACCCCCCCCCCCCACCACCACCACCAGATCCTAATCTTGGTCCAATTCCAGCGCAAATGCCACCTCCCCCAAACCACGAAGGCAACTGCACCTCTGAGCCTCCCACTGCAACTGCTCCAGCCTCCCAGGCTCTAGGACAGGGCCAATCCCCTGAGGGCTGAAGCTGTGGCCTACAGCCCCCTGCCTTCATGAACAGGTGCTGGATGACGCCTCAAGGTGGTCCCATGCACCGCAACGCAAGCCCGCGGGCAACCCTTGCTGCAGGCCCAATATGTCTGAGCCTGTGGGTGAGACCACGCTGGCTAAGCCTTCCCCAGGACTGTTTCCCTTCTATGCGACACTTTTTTTTTTTAACTGATGCCCATTTGCTGCCAGACATTATGGTGCCAGACGGGGATGACCAGGCAGGACCCTTAGGCAATGACTAATCCATGCAACAAATGGGAATGTCAACAAAATGTAGTTAGGCCATGAGGAAAGAAATGCAGGGGCCGCACTGTGGTGGAGTGGGGAAAGCCGCCGCCTGCGACGCCAGCATCCCTTAGGGGCGCCGGTTCATGTCCCAGGTGCTCCTCTTCCAATCCAGCTCTCTGTTAACGGCCTGGGAAGGCAGCTTGGGCCCCTGCACCCACATGGGAGACCTGGGAAAAGCTGCTGGCTCCCGGCTTCAGCCTGGCCCAGCCCCAGCCATTGCAGCCATCTGAGGGGTGGATCAATGAATGGAAGATCTCTCTTGTCTCTCCCTCCCTCTCTGTAGCTCTTTCAAACATAACTCTTATAAAAGAAGGTGCAAAGGGGTATTTTGTGAAGGGGAGAGGCTGAGGGGAGAGCGTTCCAGGCAGTGCGTGGCCTCCCTGGGAAACATGAACAGAGTCACTGGGCACTGACAAGCCTAGTGTGCCCTGCGGGAAGGCAGGGACTGATCTGTGATCCTGTAAGCACTGGGGCGCTGCCAAAGAACTTCAGGCTGCAGCAGGGCTGTGATGCAGGTGGGGGTGGGCTGCTAAGACAGTGAGGGGGATGTGAGAGGAGCACCCTGGTGAGTTATCTCAGGAGGCCAGATGCACAGAGCTCCCTACCCTGGATGCCTTCAGGAGCCACAGAGAGGGGGAGGAGCAGAGAAGGCCCAGCGTGCTCAGGAGTAGCCCTCTATCTAGGGCCAGGAATGGGGAGAAGAGGAGCCCGTCTCGGGCACAGAGCAAGGGCTGAACCGCACAGGAACCAGCGAGGGCTCCCCCAGGCAGGGGCCCCACCCCCTCTCGCAGCCCTCACCGTGGTGGCCTGGGAGGCCCCCAGAGTGAGCTCCTCCAGCAGGTCGCGGGTGCTGAAACCCTCTTCCACCATCACGAAGTCCGCTTCCCTCAGGTAGCCAGCCATGCCGAGGAAGAGCGGCCGGCGACCTGGATGGAGCCGCCGCCGCCGCCGCCGCCGCCGCCGCCGCCGCCGCCTTAGAAAGTATGCAACACTGCGGGGACACATGGAGAGCGGGACTGGGGGCAGGCTCCGGCTCCGCAGCCGCCTCCCTCCCTCCCGTCCCAGTCCCACCGCGCCCGGCCCCCAGCGCGAGCCCGGGAGCTGAAATTCACTGGGGCTGCTGGGGGTGGGCGGGCAAGAATCCTAGATGCAGCCCTGGGACCAGGCCTCGTAGGCCTAGATGTCACCGGCTCTCGAGCCTCAGTGGCTACATCTGTAAAAAAAAATTTTTTTAAGATCCTTTTCAGTTCTGCAATTCTGGGTCTTTGGAAAGAGGGAATGAATGAGAGAAAAAATATAAGAAACTTGAGTGGGGAAGTTTCCAGCTCCACCGCCCCCCCCTCCTGGCCACGCCCACCCGGTGGGGTTTTGGTAGCCACACCCAGGGGGGTCTCAGCCTCAGAATAGAAACTTAGATTCTAGCGCACTCAGCTCTCAGGGCCTCAGTTTCCCCGTCTGGAGAGGGTGTTCGGGCTGCTCCCGACGTGCCAGGAGGGGGCGCCCCGTGGTGGGCGGGGGACGCGAGCTCCCGGGAGAGCTCCGTAGGCTAAGGCTCTGTCCGGGTGACCCCTCCCGAGCGCAGGGCCGAGGTCCCGCCCCACCCTCTGGACCCCCTTACCAAGCCCCGTCCTCCTTCGCGGGGGCCAGAGCAGGCGCGCTGCTAGGGGGGGTCGCCGGTGACCTCGAAACTTGTGCAACACCCCGAGGAGGAGTGGCAGTTGCGGAGCCGAGGCCCCTGCTGAGAGGAGGCAAGCGGCGCCCGGGGAGCAGGTGAGCGCCCTGGCCCGGGGCTGCCGCTCCCCGAGGCTCCCCAGCCACCCCCCGCACTCGCCTTAAAACGCATTTACACGGCTTCGGCCCATAGGTCTCCCCAGCGAGTGAATCGGATCCTCGGCTCCTCCGCTCGCTCGCTCCCCCCGGCTCGGGCCCCGCGGCCTGCGCCCCGCCCGCCCAGCGGCCACCGACCCCACGCCCCGCCTTGCGCCCGCCGCCCGCTTATATAAGCCCCGCCCCGGCTCCGCCCACGGCGCCCCGGCTCCGCCCCCGCTCGCCGTGTAGCCCTGGCAACCGGGTGCCGCCATCCCATTGGTCCATTCCGACATAAAGCATTCAGCGCGGCGCAGCGTCTCCGCAAACCCGCGCCGCGGTGCCGCGGCCGCCGCACGCCGGCGGGTCGGGAGCGCAGGGTTGCGCGGGTGTGCGCGGGAGGCGGCCTCGGATGCGGCACTTGGGTCTCAGAGCGTGGGCGGGAAGCCTCTTCGATGCTGCCGCTGCGCCCTCCGCTCCTCAGGAGCGGCTCGCTCATCCCTCGAGTCCGGATCCAATGCCATCTCTGTGTTTCTAATAAAATGCGATTTTGTTTCATTGCCGCTTCTGCACATATTCCAGGACTCCTCCGACCCCAAGCCCGGCTAAAATGTCCTCCAGACAGAGAGGACCTGCCTAGCTCGGGGAGGGGTCTCCCTCACCTGCCCCCTGCCAGCGCTCACCTGGAAGTGACTCCAGCTCAAAGCACCTCCTCCTTCCCTCCCGACAAAATCCCGGGAATGGCACCTCCTCTGCGGATCATGCCGAGATCCCCCTGCGCCGAGGCCTCCCTCTTTGGCTTTGGCGGCCGGCGGCCGGCGGCTGGGGTTCCTGTGGTGCCTCACGCTCCTCATTCGGCATGGCTCAGCTTCCGGGTGAGCTCCCGGGGCAGGCGCTGAGTGCCCGGCTCCTCAGAGTGCTCACCGCCACGGCTCAAGAAGACCCAGGAGCTGTGTTACTTGGAAACGCGTGCAAACGCTGAGCTGAGCAGTAACCGAGCGCAGCTGGGTCTCCCTTGGAAAAGAAAAAAAAAAAAAAAAAAAAAGGAGCAATGGTCTCGCTCTGCCCGACTGTGGTCCTTAAAGCAGCCGGGAGCAGGAAGAGGTGGCAGCAGTCTAGAGTCTTGGACCTGTGGGATAATTCCGTGCTCCGTGAAGGCAGCATTTCTTACCCATGTGGCCACAGGGCTTTGGGTCTAGCGTGTGCTCACGTCTGCTGGCAGCAGGTGGCCTTTTTAAAACCCACAGGCTCTGGCTCCACCCCCTAACCCCATCCCCACCTTGTGGCATGTGAGTTAAGCCTCCCTCTGCGATGCTGGCATCCCATTGGGGTGCTGGCTCGTGTCCTAGTTACTCCAATTCCAATTCAGCTCCCTGCTAATGCACCTGGGAAAGCAGTGGAAGATGGCCCAAGTGCCTGGGCACCTGACCCACATGGGAGACCCAGAAGAAGCTCCTGGCTTCAGCCTGGCTCAGGCCTGGACGTTGAGGCCATTTGGGGAGTGAACCAGCAGATGGAAGATATCTCTCTCTCTCTCTCTCTCCCTCTTTCCCTCTTTCCCTCTTTCCCTCTCTCTGTAACTCTGCCTTTCAAATAAATAAATCTTTAAAGTAACATTTAAAAAAAATTTTTTGACAGGCAGAGTTAGAGAGAGAGAGAGAGAGAGAGAGAGAGAGAGAGAGAGAGAAAGGTCTTCCTTTTTCCGTTGGTTCACCCCCAAGTGGCCGCTACGGCTGGCGCGCTGCGGCCGGCGCACCACGCTGATCTGAAGCCAGAAGCCAGGTGCTTCTTCCTGGTCTCCCATGCGGGTGCAGGGCCCAAGCACTTGGGCCATCCTCCACTGCACTCCTGGGCCACAGCAGAGAGCTGGACTGGAAGAGGAGCCACTGGGACAGAATCTGGCACCCCGACCAGGACTAGAACCCGGGTGCCGGCGCCGCAGGCAGAGGATTAGCCTATTGAGCCGCGGCGCCAGCCAAAGTAACATTTTTCAAAAAAAATGCCCAGAGACAGTTCTTGTCCTACCTTGGCCTCTGCCTAAGGCACCGTGCACAACCTGGCCAGAACACGCTCATTCCACGGATGGTGCGGGGCAGTGACCTTGGAGTCAGGGAGGGCCATTTTCTGCTCCACACCCAGTGGGCCCTGGGATGGCTCAGTGTCCTTGGCTGAGTCATCTTGCCAGGACTTGGGACACTGTTATCTAGCTCAGCTTCCCCCTTTGTGCGGAGAGGGTTCAGACCGGCTTCTCGGATGCCTTCCTACCTGGAACCCTCTGGCTTTCTGTGCACAGCGACAGCCTTCCAGGAGGGTCATTTGTAGGTCCGCGGTTTGAGCGCTTGGTAGTCATTTACACCATAGTATGAGAACTCACATCCTAGTCTTCTCTCGTGAGGAAGAGAACAAGCGTCTGTGATGGGGAGGGAACACATCAGGATGGCCACGGCAGAGCCTGGAAAGGTGGAAGTGCAGGGAGGGGAGGCTCTGGCTTTGGCTCTGCCTTCTGTTTGCTCATTCTTGAGAGCTGGTAGCTGTGGATGCTGCGTCCTGGGTCTGTCTCACCAGCTTCTCGTTACCTGGTACACAGCAGGCACAAAATAGGTGCACTCAGTGTGCTTACTGAGTGCCTCAGTAGGAGCAAGGAGGAATGAATCAGAATCCATTCTGTCCATCTTAGATCTCAAGGGTGAGTAATCAGAGCAGATAGGTCTGCCTCCTGGGCTGTGTATAGGTAGGCTGTGGCTTTGCCTTTGTCCCTACCGGCTCTGTGATGTCACTGAATGTCCATGGCAACCCTATGTCACAAGAGCTATAATTGTTCCCATTTTACAGATAAGGACTCTAAAGCTCCGAGAAGTTCAATAACCTGCTGAGTATCACACAGCAAGTAAGGGCAGAGCTCGATTCTGACCCTCAGCCTTTATGCTCGACTGCTTGCCAAAGGTTCAGCAAAATTTACTGTCATCTGCTGGCGTCTGGCCCAAAGGCTCCTGTCCTGCCGGTCTCTTGCCACTGTTTTCCTGCCATCCATGGTTGCTCTGCAGAGCCCTCAAGAACAGGGAACTGGGACTGGCGCTGTGGCGTAGTAGGTTCAGCATCTGCCTGTGGCTCTGGCATCCCATATGGGCACTGGTTCAAGCCCTGGTTGCTACTCTTCTGATCCAGCTCTCTGCTGATGGGCTGGAAAATCAGTATAAGATGGCCCAGTGCTAGAACCCCTGCACTCACATGAGAGATCTGGAAGAAGCTCCTACCTCTTGGCTCTGGATCAGCCCAGCTCTGACTGTTGCGGCCATCTGGGGAGTGAACCAGCAGATGGAAGACTGACCTCTCTGTTCTCCCTCTCTCTGTAACTCTGCCTCTCAAGTAAATAAATAAATCTGATGAAGTAGAAGGAGGAGGAGGAAGAGGAAGAAAGAAGAAGAAGGAGAAGAGAAGGAGGGGGAAGGAGAACAGGGTACTAAAGCAGAATAAAGGGTCTCTGAACTCTGGCCAATTTCAACTGTTCTTCCTAAATCATTTGTGATCCAAGTCACCAACACCGCAGTAATAAAATGCCTATGGGCGGCCGACGCTGTGGCTTGGTGGGTAAAGCTGCCGCCTACAGTGCCAGCATCCCATATGGGCACCGGTTCAAGTTCCGACTGCTCCACTGCCAATCCAGCTCTCTGCTATGGCTTGGGAAAGCAGTAGAAGAAGGACCAAGTGCTTGGGCCCCTGCACCCGTGTGGGAGACTCACAAGAAGCTCTTGGCTCCTGGCTTCAGATCAGCACAGCTGCGGCCATTGTGGCCAATTAGGGAGTGAACCATCAGATGGAACACCTCTCTCTCTCTCTCTCTCTCTCTCTCTCTCTCTCTCTCTGCCTCTCCTCTCTCTGTGTGTAACTCTGACTTTAAAATAAACAAATAAATCTTAAAAAAAAAAAAAGAAGTGGAGCAGCGAGGACTTGAACTGGCGACCATATAGGATGCCAGCACTACAGGTGGCAGCTTTACCAGCTAAGCCATAGCACTGGCCCTACCTGTATTAATTTTCTAAGGCTGCCGTAACGAGCTGGTGATTTAAAACAACAGGACTTTATCATCTCGTAGTTCTGGAAGTAGGAGGTCCAGATCTAGGGGTTGGCAGATCCGAGCTCTCTCTGACGACTCTGGGGGCTGATCCTTCCTGGCTTCTGCCGGCCTCTGGTCTTTGCCAACAATCCTTGGCTTCTGGGTGTATCACTCCAGCCACACGGCTGTCCTCTCCTTGTGTCTTCTCACCAGCTTCCCTGTGTGTCTCTTCTTGATCCAAATTTCCTCTTTTTTTAAGATTTATTTTATTTATTTGAGAGACAGAGTTACAGAGAGAGACAGAGAGAAATGGCTTCCTTCCATTGGTTCACTCAACAAATGGACACAATGGCCAGAGCTGCGCTGATCTGAAGCCAGGAGTCAGGAGCTTCTTCCAGGTCTCCCACACGGGTGCAGGGGCCCAAGGACTTGGACCATCTTCTACTGCTTTTCCAGGCCACAGCAGAGAGCTGGATGGGAAGAGGAGCAGCCGGGACTAGAACCAGTACCTATATGGATGCTGTTGCCGCAGGTGCAGGATTGACCTACTGCATTACAGCGCTGGCCCCAAACTTCCTCTTTCAATAAGGACACCAATCACATTGCATTGGGGTCCACCCTAAGGACCTCACTGTCACTTGATTATCTTTGTAAAGTCCTTTATCCAAATAAGGTCATCTGTGGAAACGAGGGTTGCCATGGATGTTTTTGAGGGGGACATAATTCAACCTTCACCCCCACCAAACACTTCCTCTCAGGTCACTGGCTGTGAGGAGGTGGGGAGACTTAGCCTTTATTTGGGTGCTTTGCTGCTCCTCCCACTCTCCCCTAAATAAGAAAGGGTATTGCAGGGCAACTGCAACCTCTGCCACAAGTAAGAGAGACTTTTCCCGCTTTTAAAAGTCAATATACCAGGGCCAGTGCTGTGGTGTAGTGGGTAAAGCCACCACTTGAAGTGCCAGCAACCCATATGGACGCCTGTTCAAGTCCCAGCTGCTCCACTTCTGATCCAGCTCTCTGCTATGGCCTGGGAAAGCAGTAGAAGATGGCCCAAGTCCTTGGATCCCTGCACCCATGTGGGAAACCTGGAAGAAGCTCCTGGTTCCTGGCTTCGAATCAGCACAGGTCTGGCCATTGCAGCCAACTGGGGAGTCAACCAGCGGATGGAAGACCTCTCTCTCTCTCTCCTCTCTCTCACTCTCCCTCTGCTTCTCCTTCTCTCTGTGTGTAACTCAGACTTTCAAATAAATAAATAAATCTTAAAAAAAAAAGTCAATTTCCTGGAGACCAGCCTTGTGGCACAGCAGATTAAGCCCCCGTAGGCAATGCTGACAGCAACAGCCTAGGCTGGTCCAGAAGTTCAGGAATATTATGAGACTCACTCCACAGGGAGCAGACAGAGAGGAAATTAACACTTGTTGAACACCTACTGTGTGTCAAGCACCATGCTGTTTACAAACACACAATTGCAAGATAAGTGTTACTAGCCCCATTTTACAGATGAGCTCACTGAGACTAAATTCTTTGTCTACAGTTACACATCCAGTGAGTAATGGAGCAGGACCTTAACTCTGGTCTTATTTTATGCCAGTGAGGTGGGCCCTGGGAATAGGACATGAGCCCAAAGCAAAGAATGCTGACAGCAGGCCAAGAGCAAGCAGGGGACCTGAGTGGTGGCTGGAGTCCAGGGTCAGACACCAGATGAACCGGCAGGAAGGAAATCAAACCCCGGTCAGCACGGCAAACTTGAAGGCATTAGTGAGCTGGAGACCCAGAAACGGAAAGACAGTCTTGGGACTCGGTATGGTCGGAGCTGTCCACATGCGGGGATGAAAGTGAATCGTGACTGTGGCTGCCACTTACTGAGCTTCTGCTGCACTCTGGGCACTGCTGCAGGCGTATCCATAGCTCACCCCCCGAGAGTGCTTGCTTCCGCGCAGCCTGCTCCAAGATCTACATAGCCTTGAGCGCCACGGCCACTCCATGAGCTATGTGCCGTTAGTAACAGCCTGTTACAAGGCAGGAATTAACATCAAGAGGCTAATTTGCTCAAGGTCGCACAGCAAGACAGTGGCATCATTCCACTACATGCATTTTTGTCCATCTTCATAACAAGCCTGCAAGGTGGGAACTATTACCCTCATTCCACAAGGGAGGAATTTGAGGTTCAGAAAGGCCAAGCGATTGGACCAAAGCACACAGCACATAAATGACAAAGCCTGGACTCAAACTGAGGGCCAGACACAGGTGAGGAACTTAAAATAATGCAGCTCAGGGTCACGGTAGAACAGATCTCTGGGCCCAAACCCTCGAAACCCTGCATTCTGGTCCTTAGGAAGGGGTCCGTGTCCCCTGACACAGGGACAGGCAGGCAGGCACCTGGCGTGTGCGTCGGGACCCAACCCAGGACCAGCACCAGGAAAGCAAAGCTCAAGTACACTGATAGAAAGGGGAGTTATCCAAGGTAGAATTAAAGGTAAGTTTATTGTGATGCCAAAATGTTTTGAAATCCATGCATTCTTTTTCCATGGTTTGTATCTTCTATAAACTTTTTAAAAAGATTTATTTATTTATTTATTTGAAAGTCAGAGTTACAGAGAGAGAGAGAGAGAGAGAGAGAGAGAGTCTTCCATCTACTGATTCATTCCCTAGTTGGCCACATTGGCTGGAGCTTCCTCTGGGTCTCCTACGTGGGTGCAGGGGCCAAGCACTTGGGCCATCTTCTACTGCTTTCCCAGGCCACAGCAGAGAGCTGGATCGGAGGAGGAGCAGCCAGGACTCTAACCAGTGCTCATATGGGATGCTGGCACTGCAGGTGGGAGCTTTACCTGCTACACCACAGTAACATTCCCTCTGTAAACTTTTTAAAGTTTCCTTATATACATGGTTTTAAAAGTGTTTTCCTTTTCTTTTAGAATTATTTATTTGAAAGGCAGAGTTACATAGAGCGAGGACAAGACAGACAGATCTTCCATCCACTGGTTCACTCCCCAAATTGCTACAGTGGCTGCAGTTGGGCCCAACAGAATCCCAGAGCCAGAGGCTTCATCTGGGTTCCTCAGGTGGGCAGCAGGGGCCTATGATCTTGGGCCATCTTCCACTGCTTTCCCAGGTGCGTTAGCAGGGATCTGGATTGGAAGTGGAGCAGCCAGGACATGAACTGGCACCATATAGGATGCCAGCACATTATCCACTGTGGCACAGTGCTGGCCCTGAATGTGTTTTTCTAAGCATTGATTGATTGATTTGAATGGCAGAGAGAGAGAGAGAATATTCTATCTGCTGATTCATTCCCCCAAATGGCCACAACTGTTGGGGTTGGACCAGGCCTAATCCAGGAGCCCAGAACTCCATCCAGGTCTCCCACATGGGTGGCAGGGGCCCAGGGATTTGGGCCATCTTCTGCTGCCTCCCCAGGCACATTAGCAGGGAGCTGGATTGGAAGCGGAGTAACCCAGGCTCAAACCAGCACGCTCATATGAGATGCCTGTGTGGCAAGCATCAGCTTAACCTGCTGGGCCACAACACTGGCCCCTGATTTCAAAAGTCTTTTGCAGCAAAATAAACTTAGATTTTCCATGAACCTTTGATGTGCCCTCTCCTAGACAGACAACATGCTAAAATGCTGAATTGTGTGGACTGGATCCCTTTGTGTTTATTTTCACTCTCTATTATTATTATTATTATTATC